AAAACCCTTCCCCCCCCCCCCACAAGGTTCCATAGCCTTATACAGTACATGAAATAAAACATGTCTAATTTATTAGAAAACATAGGTGGCTTATTTCAATAATATCTATGATTTAATAAAATTGGCAGTTTGCAATATAAAAATACTAATAGAATTATTTACAGCAGGACCTGCTCTGTTTGAAATTGATATACTTAAGCCAATCTTTCTCTATTAAAATGGCATTAGTAGTTGCATCTGCTTGTCTTGTAAAAAAAAAAAAAAAGACCCCCCCCAAAACAAAATACATCCTACTCAATTATACACTATAACACTTTAAGTAACAAGGAATCTCATACTTTACAAAAATATTTAATTGAAAGTTCACAAGTGAGCAAAAACCTATCACTGCTATAAGTGCTAGATACTAGAGTATCTAGCTTGAAAACAGATTTGTTCTTGTGGCTGTTAAATACATTGTTTTTAATGTTTCATGTCAGTATAAACAGACTAGTGAGTTTCCATTTGTCATAGTCAGCTTGTTAAAAATATTCTTAGAAGATGTAGTATCCTACTTAATTCTTATTCAGTTTTCCCATCTTCATGCTTTCTGGACTTTCAAATTAGTTGTATAATTCCCACCTGACAATATATATTAAAACTTTAAATACAATTCATTTAATCTGAACCTCTAAACATGAGCATTCACTCTCTGAAGAGTGAATCCCAACATTCACATCACCTTAGCTACTTTGAAAATGCTGGAACGGTGTTCTGACAGCTATCAGATATTAGCTCGTTCATTTCATTTTGTTTAGTTTCTTCTTTATTCTCAAGGCTGGGGGAATGTCTTTGAGATCCTGCTCTTCTAGACCTTCTAAGGAAACATTTTATCAGCAGATAACAGAATTCAGCCACATTTAACATAATGCAAATACCAGACACACCAATCATAAAAATAGTGAACACCGTCTTTTCAGTAGGTCGAGAAACAAAACAGTCCACTGTGTTTGGGCAAGGCCAAGCACTACATTTCACTAGCCGTGGCATTCGGAATCCATCATACACGAAGTAAAATGCATACATGAAGGCAGCTTCAAAAATCAACCTGAAGAATATGCTGCCAGTGTATGTCCACCACAAGGGTCCCTCAATATGAAATCTTTGGGTTCTTATCTCTTCAATGTCTTTATATTGACAATTTTGATCTCCCTTCCTGAACTGCTTCTTCCTCTCATGTCGTCTGTAGGCAACATGCATTACCACCAACAGTGCAGGAGTTGAGACAAAGATCAACTGAAGGGCCCAGAGCCTAATATGAGAGATGGGGAAAAAGTGATCGTAACAAACATTTTTGCATCCAGGCTGTAGTGTGTTACAGACAAAATCTTCTTGTTCATCTCCCCAGACTTTCTCTGCAGCCACTATGAGGATCATAATACGGAAAATGAACAGGACAGTGAGCCAGATCTTTCCGATGCTGGTGGAGTGTTTATTCACACCTCCCACCACAGCATGCAGTGATCCCCAATCCATTGTCTTGTTTAACTCCCGTTACCTAGTAAGACAAAACACGAACAACAAATCATCATCAATAGATGTAAGAAATCAGTTCCATTAACACTGTTGACACAGAATATAGGAGTTGTTAAATAACTGCAGCATCTTGGGGGACAACAGTAACAGTTTCCTAGACAATGTATGTGACACTGTCACCACAAGTGGCCATAACCAATACTGGAAATGAAGTAGTATACATGGATAGTTCATAATGATCATGGCTTATCTGTTTGCGCATGAAAAACAAGAAGCTCCAAATCAATAGTGTGCATGCACACACACATGCTTTTAAAAAGTTAATTTCACTAAAATTGAAAACAATAAGCCCCCTCAATGGGGGGGGGGGGGGGGGAAAGGGGGGGGGGGAAAAAAAA